GTAGTGAACGGAACTTGGTTGGTAAATTCCGCGGCCCACATGTGGGGTATGAAACCGTACGACACGTAAGTATCATCGAAGATCCGCCTATGTCGTTTATCCTATTGTTCGTATTTCAAGTCGTAAATCTGCGAAAACAGAAATCAATAAGACAAACGTGTTCGTATTTTTGTCGTAGCTCCATTAGTGCCACTAACAGCTATGGTGTCAGTTACGTAGCTTTCGGCGAGGGCTGGCACAATTACCATCACGTGTTCCCATGGGATTACAAGACCAGCGAATTAAACAACTATGGCTCAAACTTCACCTGTGCTTTCATCGACTTTTTCGCCTGGCTCGGCTGGGCGTACGATCTGAAGACCGTGGGACATGACTTAATAAAGAAACGCGCAGCCCGAACAGGCGACGGTTCGATATATGAGCTAGAGGGTGATCTTAATGATGAACATCATCATACGCAAGAGAAAATGATATGGGGATGGGAGGACGCTGATATGTCAGTGGAGGATAAGCTGGCAGCGGAGATACTCAACAAGGAGTCCCGAGATTAAAATCCTCAAAATTTTTGACGTAGCATTACAGTTGGAATTACGTAGAAAGTGTCGTCCGACAGTCGTTTGGTTGTACAATAGTTATGTATGGTAAATGCATAATGATATCGGTGATTAACGGTGAAAGGTTAACATATATCGTTATACATGTAAAGTATCGTATTTATCTGTTATAGAGGTTTAGTATTTACATGTATGCTTTTAATGATTGCGTATGTCTCTGGCAAGTAATAGCTCGGCCATTACACTAGGTGCTCGTATTGGAGATGGCCATTTTGTTAAAAGATAATGGAGAAATGCTACCATGCATATTTCACGGAAATTAATAACAGATATATTAATATCTATATCAATAAGTTCTCAATTTTAACAAGAGGTTATCTGCGATGAGTGCGGCTAATATATTATACTATCCGAACATACCTGTCAGAGATGTTGATAGTATATCTGTTGAATATGTTCCATGTTACAAAGTCCTGTGGTACATTGTGCAATAGAAATAGAATTATTATTACGCCCGATATAATGAATCAGACTTGAAGACGGAACTGTCTCCTTGGCGATAGATGTTATTAAAACAATCGTTCGTTGATTTGCAGCTGAGCTTACGTGTACGAGCCGCTGTAATATTTCTCTGTGAAATAAATGGCGTTAGTGTAAAACGTTGTCGCTCTTTATTTTCTTTAAAATAAAAATGGTGAGGTATGGTAAAATGATTTGCGCGAATTTGCGAAAAGATTGGCCAACGGCAGCTCGACTGTGTGCGAAATTGCATTGTACGACATGATTGTAACTATTGTCTCCCAACCGTCGAATCCGTTCGCCTCGGTTCGACTATAAAACGGCGGCGTCCATTACGCCTTGCCAATACCAACTAGACCGAAGATACCGTCGTCGTGAAGCCGGAGTGTGTATGCTTGACGAGAAAAAGGCGACACCGCGTTTCCAATAATTGTTAATCTTATACCGTCGTTAATTTTATACGCGGCGAACATCCTCGAAATTCAGCGCGACATCTCTACTACAAGTCTTTCACACGTAGGGGAACCCGGGACATAACGGGAACGCTAAGGTTAAAATTAATTTTAAACAAAATGAAAATACATAAATGAATTATTTTTTTACGAAAATTTTCTTTGAAATGTCTACTATAAGAAAAAAAATGGTTTTACTGTGAAAGAATAGTTTAAAAGGACGAAATTTTTATTTTATTGAGATCATGACTTAATCTGATTATCATTTTATGCGGGCCAC